TGACTCTGGACGAACAGTTGAGATGTGACGAGACTCTAGAAGATCAGCTGTGACGTGACATGACTCCGGATGATCAGCTGTGACGTGACGTGACGGGACTCCGGATGATCAGCTGTGACCTGACTAGACTCATGAATATCAGCTGTGACTTGACCAGACTCAGGATAATAAACTGTGACTCGATTTGACTCATGACGATCAACAGTGCCTAGACTCGACTCACTATGCAACAGTTTGTGTAGTGCGAGAGTCAATGTAATGGAAAGGGTGACATCTGGTGGTGAATAAACGGAAGTCCATGAACCGAATTCGTGACAGATTTATTTGTATATTTTATTTTTTTAATTGTATTACTTTATTTATTTTTCACATATTATATTTTTGTATAATTTTTTAACATTTTTATGCAATATATAAATAATAATTATTATTAATATATACAAATGAAGAGTGCTGAGATCCAAAAAACTATAATGTCAATAATACTTTCAAGACAACCAATTATATTTTCAAGGACATTTTTGCTTTTGGTGCTTGATGTCCAATGACTAAATAAGAAAGTATCAAAAACGTTCTGATGCCATAAAACTGCATAAATTTGAGGAACAGACTAAAATGTATTCATATAAAATCTTCCAATACAACATTTTGATGCAGCATCCTATATGACAAAAGAAAAATATTTTCAGAAATATAGTTAAATAGTTTAACTTATATTCCCTCGTATTTTTGCCCTTATATACAAATGTTTATTTTTTCCTAAAAAAATAAATAAAAATAAAGTCTTAAAGTCTAAATTTGTTTTTTTTTACCCTTGAAGTACATTTTGTAATCTTGTACATTTTGTATTTTTGTATAATTTGTACTTTTATCAAATATATATATAAATTAGTAGTAGTAGTATTATTAGTATTAGTATATACAATTGAAGAGTGCTGAGATCCAAAAAGCTATGTCAATAATATTTTCAAGACAGCCAATAATATTTTCAAGGACATTTTTGCTTTTGGCACTTGATGTCTAATGTAATATCTGGATCCTGAAGCCAAACTAGTTTTGAACCACTGATCCACAAACTGATCACCTGAGGGTTGTTTGTATATGGAGGGGAGAGATATGAAAGGGCGGTTGAGGGATACCTTCTGATATTCATCCTTGGAGTGCAATGCCTGGTCGAGCTGTTCCTGTGTGTAAGCGTAGATGGTTGAGCGATAGGTCGTCCCAACATCGTTGCCTTGTCGCATTCCTATCAAAGAAAATGCAGATATGTCAATGTTAAAAACAGGGTGTTTGGGGATCTGATTACAACACAAATGTAAATGGGTAAATTACTCCTTGATATTCAATGTTAAACTCTATATAGACATCTGAGAAGTAAAGTAAGTCGTGTAACTCTGATGAAATCGTGCAGTTCAGCCACTGAGTGCGTCTTCTGTGGGTCCAAAATTAGCATCTATTAGTACTTAAGTCTCTTGGGAAACAAACTCCCAATCAACCAGATATGAAATCTTGGGAAGAGTGCGGTTTTAATTAAAGCTCTGTTTTATCTGTTCTTGATCCAGATATGACTTCATAGATTCTGCATGGATGTTTTTGTTGGATGGGAAGAGGGCGTTAACTATGCTGAAGAAGCTGGATAGGACTGGAGTCTTTACCTCATGCGAATGTACATTATTTTAAACACTTCTGAGCTGTAAAACTTTTCTGTTAGCAGAGTGTTAGTCATCACCACAGACACAATCAGGGCATTATACAGGCTGTCTCCATCAGTCTGAATGTGATTGGATGGTCGAGACACTTTAAACTCTGATCTGAGTCCTCTGGTCATGATTGCAGCCACTCAAACTGTTGCCTCTCCTCTTTGTGAATTCATGACGGACCTCTCGTAGCTCTCAAACTACTGGAACTTAAGACTGTATTAAGTTAAAGAGCTGCTTTTTTTATTGGCTTTTTGTGCTTGGCCTTTCTTTAATGAACACTGTGGTAAACAAAACTTACTGTGTACTGTATTGGCTTTCAACTAATAATGAATAAATATGATCTTAAAGGGAGAGTTTACCCAAAAAGGACATTTTTGTCATTTACTCAAAACCTTTCTTCTGTGAAACTTGAAAGACAGCTCCAAAATGACCAAATAATAAAGTATCAAAAAAGTTCAGATGCCTTAAAATTTTTAAAATTTAAGGAACAGACTAAAATGTATACATTTAAAATCTTCCAATGCAACATATTCGCGTGGCATCCTATATAGCAAAATAAAATTATTTTCAGAAATATTTTTTTTAAATAGATCAAAATACATTAAAATGGTAAAAAATAATTGTAGCACTAATATAGGTTTTTAAATACATTTACATAAATAAATATTATTTCAATAAGTTAATAGTTAAATTTATATTCCCTCATATTTTTGGCCATTATATACAAATGTGTTTATTTTTTCTAAATAAAAAAAGCATTTTTCCAGAAATGTCTTTTAGGATTGGAATGTATTTATATACATTTCTATAGAGTTTTTTTTTACCCTTGAAGGACATTTTATAATCTATTCTGACATTTGAAGGTTTAAACTAAATCTTTTATTAAAATGCATTTTGTCAATTTACACTTTTATGTATAAAATACATAAATGATGGGATATTTGAATAAATTATATTTTGGTATGTTCCTCATTATAAGACTTGAAATATACCACACAAAGTCATATGGCCTACTTTTATGGTGCTTTTCAGAGCTTGACATTTCCTCATTCATGTTCACTGCGTAGAAAAAAAACTTCTTTGAGTTCCACAGAAGAAAGAAAGTCATACAGGTTTGGAAAGACAAGAGAGTGAGTAAATGATGACAGAATTTTCATTTTTGAAAAGCAGACTATCCCTTTAAGATTCTGAGAGTGCGATGGCAAAAAATGTTACCTTGTGTAGGATCGTGGCTTTCCCAAAATACCTTCAGCAACTGTGCAAAGTGGATCTTCTCAGGCACATAGACCACGCAAACCACCTCTGTGTGTCCTGTTTTACCTGTGTGAGCAAGAGGAGCAGAGGTGACTGTATAAACATCATCGCCAAAAAAGTCACAGTGCGCACACACACCCTCAGGTTAAAAAGAGGTGGCCCGCGGTCCCAATCCAGTGAGGTCATCAAGGGACACTGATTTTGGCTTGACTGATAGGGTCAGTCCTCTATATTGATTACAATTATGTGTCTTTTGACCCTTTCATAAAAGTATCATACTTTTGTCATAGCATCAGCTGGGTGCTTTTCTATAAGCTAAAAAGAATTGCAACCTGAAGAAGGAAACCATGAAAAAACTTCTAGAGGAAGCTCTCCTTCTCTTAGACAGACTCATAACAACAAGAAATTACTTTGAAATGACTCACTGCGGGTTAGCAAGCATGGAGGAGAAGCATAGAGGAGCATAAACAAACACAAGCACGATACATTACCTACAGTACTCCGCCTGATGATTATGCTCTCTTTCAGGTTTGGAAAGACAAGAGAGTGAGTAAATGATGACAGAATTTTCATTTTTGAAAAGCAGACTATCCCTTTAAGATTCTGAGAGTGCGATGGCAAAAAATGTTACCTTGTGTAGGATCGTGGCTTTCCCAAAATACCTTCAGCAACTGTGCAAAGTGGATCTTCTCAGGCACATAGACCACGCAAACCACCTCTGTGTGTCCTGTTTTACCTGTGTGAGCAAGAGGAGCAGAGGTGACCGTGTAAACATCATCGCCAAAAGAGTCACGGTGCACGCACACACCCTCAGGTTAAACAGAGGTGGCCTGCCATCCCAATCCAGTCAGGTCATCAAGGGGCACTGATTTTGGCTTGACTGGCCACGTCTCCAGCGATAGGGTCAGTCCTCCATATTGATTACCTTTATGTGTCTTTTGACCCTTTCAAAAAAGTACAAGAGCAGTCGATCTACCTGTGTGTCATGGCATCAGCTGGGTGCTTTTCTATAAGCTAAAAAGAATTGCAGCCTGAGGAAAGAAACCACGGAAAAACTTCTAGAGGAAGCTCTCCTACTCTTAGACGGACTCATAAAAACAAGAAATTACTTTGAAATTACTCATTGCGGGTTAGCAAGCATAGAGGAGAAGCACAGAGGAACATCAAACAAACACAAGCACAATGCATTACGTACTCAGCCTGATGATTATGCTCTCTTAAGGCTGGATTCAAACAACAGCACAGGCATTAGTAGCAATCGAAAAGGAAGACATGAAGTGGGTCAGACAGAGATTAAAGTGAGAATTGCTGACGCCTTTTCTTTTCTAACGTCATTAAAACAATGACGTTAGCAAAACTGCAAGTTTTTTTGTTTGTGGGGTTTTTTTTGGGGGGGGGGGGGGGGTGTCTTGTCCTACAGAAGCCATTGAAGTTTTATCAAAGTATTAAGACAATTACTTTCAATTGCAATAAAGCCTGTTGAAGAAGTTAAAAACACAATGGAGGTATTCACTGCACCAGCTGATAGTGTTGTTTATTTCCACTCACTGTCTGCAAAAAAATATTTTTATCTAAAAATTATGCTAGAAAGGAAATGGCACAAAAATGCGAATTGCAATTTGCATGGCACGGTCTTGAAGACTGATTCTGAATGTTGTGTTTGCACTTAAAAAAATTATATTGACTGTGCACTGCTATTTTAGAACATTTATCACCTTGTTTGTGGTTTGCAATGGATCAGTAAATAAAAAATGATATCAATAATATAAAAGAGACTGATTTTTTTTCAGAAAGAACACATTAAATTGATCAAAAGCAACAGTAATATCTTTCATTGTTACCAAAAATTATATTTCAAACAAATGCAGTTCTTTTCAACTTTCTATTCATCAAAGAATCCTGAAAAAAATGTTTCATGCATTAAAATATTAAGTGTTTTCAACATTTATAATAATAAGAAAATGTTTTATATATATATATATATATAGGAGGTAAACAGAGCGCCTAAAGAAAAATAATGCCATGGATTAGCTTACACACACAATATAAAACCAAATATAACCTAACTTTAGTCCAAATAACTAAATAAAATAAAACAAATATATAAACAAAAATATATAAAATAAAATTTAAGTTAAAATAAACAAATTAAATCAAATTGAATTTTATTTTTTTTTTATTATTATATTTTTTCCCCTATATCACAATATGATTATTTAGCTGTTTTTTTATTATTTGAAACAAAAATGTTCACAGCATCATATGCTAAATAAGTCAGTCTCTTATAAAAGATTTAGCTTTTAATCAACATTGTAGATGGCAGTGTTATTAGTTACTAAAACTAACAAAACTAAAACCATACAAAACATTTTCATTACTTAAAATAAAATAAACATTTACTGAAATTAAATAAGTCTTCCTATTTATTTATCCCTATAGTTTAACTTAATATACTAAAATAACAAATTAAAACTGAAATAAAAATGTGAAGAAAAAAAAACGAATAAATTGACAGAAACACAACAAATTTACTAACATTTTAACTAAAATGAAAATGGAAAATACTTTAGCATGTATGTCTTTGAATTACATAGGACAAAGTCAAATGCTCATTGTTACAATAAGATTTAAACCATGCAATTCTGTTTAAAATGACCAATTTTTTTTAATGTACTCACCAAAATTTTTACAGTACTTGGATTTGGCACTTGGATATTGGATATTTTGTGCCCATCCAAAGAAAGCAAAAATGTACATTTTCTGCACTCATTGTAACCTTTTGTCAGTATTTTATGCAAATGTTCGTACATGCAAAGATAAGACAATGGCGTTCTAATGGAGGCATAAGAGCCCACAGCATTATCCTCGAATTGCGTTATGCATGTTGGCTTATGGAAGAGTAATGAACCCACTGAACCTGTTCCTACACTTCCCACTCCTCTCTTTACATTCATCCAATCCTCCCTCCCTCTCGATTTCTCTTCCTCTCCCTCTGCTCGGATTTCTTCCCTTCTTCATTTCCTCTTTGAAGCATCTCGCCTCTTTTCTTCCCATCTCCCAAATCCTCTTTCTCAACCCCCCATTTGTTTGGTGTAATCCCCTCACCCACCCCCTCGCCAGGCTATGCCGTTCTAGACGAGCTGAAGGTCGACCGCAGGCGGCCATATTTGCTGCAGCTTGAGACCGGCGTACTATCTAAGCGAAGGTACAGATGTGATGCAAGTAGGTGTCAAGGGAAGTGCCTTTTACAGACCATCAATACAAGTGGAAGCAGTGAGAACTACAATCCACTGAAATTCAGAGATAATGGTTATGTGAGACACTGCAAAGGCACAAGCACACCATCTTCTCATGTTCTCTCTTTGTGCAGCTCTAATTCTGCATCACGAAATGTGTGAAAAACATACCATAGGCTGCTTCAGTTTTAAGGTGCCTTCTATGAAATGGATGCATTTTCTAGTTTACAAGGTGAATTTTCAAGTATTTTTGTAAGATTTTACATTTTGTGCACTGTGCTAACCCAAGCTAAATTAATATATTAGGATATGTATTAGGATATAATTATGCCTTCAAATGGGTCTTTTAGAAAAATAAAATAGGTACTATATATATACACACAGACACATCACTGTTCAAAAGGGGTCAGTAAGATTTTTTTATGCATTTTTATTTATTTTAAAATATATGTATTTTAAATAAATGCTGTTATTTTTAACTTTATATTCATCAAAGAATCCTGAAAAAATACTAATATTAATAAGCATATTATAATGGTTTCTAAAAGATCATGTGACACTGAAAACTGAAGTAATTGTTGCTGAAAATTCAGCTTTGCCATCACAGGAATAAAATACATTTTAAAATGTAGTAAAATAGAGAATGGTTATTTATTGTTTTTACTGTATTTCAGCTGTATTTACTGTATTTTTGAAATACAATAAAAGCATCCTCCCCTCAAAAACACACACAAAAAAATCACAGCTGATAGTGCACAGACCTATATATAATGCATATATATACAGAGATAAAGATTAATAAAAATAATAGATTTTTCCAATAAAAATGTGCTCACTAGCTAATGCAGCAAGGTGAAGTTGAGAAGAAAATATCAAAATAAATAACCAGATATATTAACACAGTAAATATTGAATCAACTATTCATAGTTAAAGTTGTTGTGTTTTAGTTTTTTTTAAAAGATAAAGTACTTCCTAATCAAAACAAGCATTTTCTGTATAGCTGCTTTGAAACGATATGTATTGTGAAAAGCACTTTACCAATAAACTTGGACACAAATACCACACATTTTGTAGAATGACCCATAAGATGCTATTTTCTATGATTATTTGCATTGGTGGCTTTATCTTTAGTGCATGTTTCTGCTTGGCGGACATGTCTGTACCCTTTAATCCCCTGTTGACACAAGCTCTTGTGCAGACAGGACTGAGATTAACACAGAAAGAGAGAGAGAGCGAATGAGTGCATAGACAAAGCGGGAGAGCATGTAAGGATCATAGCGCTTCCCCTCCCCCTCACATACATGAGTAAAATCCTGCGTGTGATTCTATCGCTCCGTTCCCAAACCTAGTTGGCTGCCTACATTTTAAGACATCACAGGCACACCCCAAAAGCACTGCAAAAATAATTATAAAAATAATCCCGTAATGCACTGTCAAAACACTAAAGATGACGAATAAAGTAAAAAGACTGGAGACATAAATATAATTCATTCAACAATAAAAATTATAGATAAAACGTTTCAAATTAATAAATGAAAAAAGCTTCTTAGACTCCTGTTCTAAGCCCTATTTGTATGATGCTCAGAATTTCTGCCTATTTAGTGTGTCACTTATGAGGTTTTATTTCAGTAAAGATGCTGCCTTAGAAGGTAGCTGCCTATGTAGGACGCAATGCAGCTCAGTAGGTCTTAAATCAGACCTTACTGAAAAAAGGAAGATATTCATTAGCACACAATAACAGATCATATCTAGGAGCACACCAGTCTTATCTTCCCATTTCTTCTAAAATCCTGTTACTTGTTTCAAAAGGATGTCAGCATTCAAACCCTGTATGAAGCACAGAGTGTTGCCAGCCATTTCAGCACCAGCATTCATTTCAGCACCAACCAATGGACAGCTCCCTCTGAGTTTTCAGCACCCCGCGCAGTATGTACCAGTTCTGCTTGTAGCGAAGGACCACCTGCTGAATCATCACACCCGTCTATACAACAGCTTTGATTCTGAAAACGTACGGTTTCTAAGAAAAAGAGGGAATTTAAATATAAATACCATGCAGTGAGAAGCATGTTTGTGTTTAAGTCGTCCAAACTTTGGCGTAAGGAATGGCTAAGCATACTCTGTGAGAGGCCATTAAAGCAAATTCATTTGATGGGAAATCATTGTGACTGAACTTGCGCTAAAGCAGCATACAGGGAAACCTTGGGAGATCAAAGCCCAGGCCTGTCATGTTCTTCTAGGCTGAGGAAAACTCAAGAGTAAGTTTGAACTGAGAAAAACTTCTCCTTTTGATAGACTAAACACACCAGGAGACAGAATGTAGAATTATTTTACTCAATTTTGTTTTCAAAGACAATAATTTCTGCATTTTTTTAGAGAATAATTGCAAAGTAACAAAAAAATGTATTGTGTTCATTTACATAATTTATACTTTACTGTTTGAATACAGTAAAAACAGTAATATTGTGAAATATTATTACTATTTAAAATAACTCTTTTCTATTTAAATATATTTTACAATGTAATTTATTCCTGTGATGCAAAGCTGAATTTTCAGCAGCCATTACTCCAGTCTTCAGTGTCACATGATCCTTCAGAAATCATTCTAATATGCTGATTTTCTGCTCAAGAAACATTTATTATTATCAATGTTGAAAACATGTTGACGTTCTGCTGCTTAATATTTTTGTGGAAACCGTCATACATATTTTTTTAGGATTCTTTGATGAATATTTATTTGAAATATATATTTTTTGGAAGTCTTTTTACTGTCACCTTTGATCAATTTAATGCATCCTTGCTGAATAAAAGTATTAATTTTTAATACTTTTTAATAGCCGTGTTTATGTTCTGGCCACCATTTTGGATTACTGCATTCATGTTCTGTTTTCCTCTCTTATTTTTTAAAGGGGTCATATGATGCTGCTAAAAATAATATTATTTTGTGTATTTGGTGTAATGAAATGTGTTTATGCGGTTTAAGGTTAAAAAAACATTATTTTCCACATACTGTACATTATTGTTTCTCCTCTATGCCCCGCCTTTCTGAAACGCGTCGATTTTTACAAAGCTCATCGGTCTGAAAAAGCGAGGTGTGCTGTGATTGGCCAGCTATCCAGTGCGTTGTGATTGGCCGAATACCTCAAGCGTGTGACGGAAATGTTACGCCCCTTACCATATTGTGATGATGCCCTGTCAGGCCGGAGCGATGATTCAAAAACATGAAAACCCATTATAAACGAGGCATTCGTTGCATCCAGTGGGGACATAATTATGGATTATAATGACTTTTTGTCTTTTTACGTGTTGCGTTGCATCGCGTGGCATAAACATAAAACCATGTCTGCATTTGTGATCGGAGAAATGACAAACAACAAGCCCTACTCTACACTGCCCAAAAAAACTTGCTTTAAATATATAAAATATAAAAACTCTTTAAATATAAAAAACGTACTTACAGTCTTTGAGTCAGAACAGCCGGCATTGTAGTCTACTCTACCAGGATCAGTAAACAGTCCTCCATAAAATGTGCTGGACACATCTGAATATTTGGGTTGAAGTGTTCTGGAACAGTGTTGTAAATACAACTTAACCACTGATTTCTAGTCGTGTCCATTTTTGGAAGGCCAAACAAAGTAGTTTCGCTTTCACAATGTCACACGGCGGCCTTGAATGAGCAGAGGCCGGGGGATAAAGTGAAGAACGGCCGGAGGGCTAGAGTGAGCAGAGGCGGTGGATTCGACGAAGGAGCATCCGGCGGGCTAACGACAATCACATGTGACGACCCTGGGCTGGACTCCGCTTCTAGTCTTTGCAACTTTACAGATCTTCTTTATGCACCAAGAGCTTGTAACACTCCAAAGAGAAAGGAAAAATTGAAATCGCATCATATGACCCCTTTAAAGGAAAATCCTAATATTCTAAATCCTAAATCCATGATAAGGAAGGAGAGGCTCAGATCTAATAATAATAATAATAATAATAATAATAGGTCAACATCTGGCATAGCTAAGGCAAATCCACCCATGTCAAAAACTCCCATCTTGATTATTTCATTTGGGTAGAAGCTTCATGGTGATTTTTGGATGGGCAAACCGTATGAGCATGTGTTATTTTGCATTGGTATATTAGCCAGTTACCAGATTAGTGCTATATGAGCAAGATGTGTTATCATTTTAGATATAAGCATATATGAATTCCATCTGGATGCCTGCAGATGTTACAAAAAGAACAAGACTGTAATTACTGTATGAATTCTCTACAGAATTCAGATTTCTGCTCTCCAATTAAGGCATTTCTTATTAGATAGATAGATAGATAGATAGATAGATAGATAGACAGACAGACAGACTGACAGACAGAGTTCTCTCTGCCAATGGTTTCAAAGCATGAGAATTCAGCTCAGTATCTTCTTACGATGCTTGTAATTACTCTCTTCTGGATAGAGATCTCTGCTGCTTTTCCTTTTAAATCTCCCTTTCTTCCAGCTTAAGTGTCAATGTCCCAAGAGCCTCCTATCACCAATGGATTTACCCTGGCTTTAACTTCCCTCCTTCTTTCTAATTCCTTCTTCAGTTCTTGATCTCAAGCATCCCAGTTTTTCTTCTAGCTACCATAGTTTTGGACTGCCACATCAACCACCATTTCTGTGTCTGTTCTACCAAATATATTATGTGTCAGATCTGGTAGTTGTACTGCACCTCTTGATTATTTGCTGCTATACATTTATATTTTACATTTCAACTTGGTCAACACCAGTACAGTTGTCAGTATGTGCATTATTTATGATGCTCAAATTGTGTGCATATTCTTTATGTGGCTGGAGCTCCACAGACAAAGAACAAGAAAAGACAATAAGTGACTGAAAGCTTGGAAGGGGTATTCAGTTACTCATTTTTTCACAACAACACATACGGTTGCAATATTGTTAAAGTTGAGGGTGGCTCACATACCTGTGCACACCTCTTCATAGGTGGGGTTTGGGGTGTAACCGCCAGAGTAGCCCACTTGAGTGGAATAGACCCCATTTTGCCTCCAGAACTTCCTCTCCGCTCCCCAGAAACAGCCCATACCTGTGTTAAAAATAGAAAATAAATATTATTTACTGTATATAGAGCCATAGACCATAACTGCTCTATAATTGAGACCAAAAAACATAATATTTCTAGTATTGGCAGAAATTACAAAGATTAGATGTTCTGAGAACATTTACAGTACATGTACACATTTGATGGAAATGTAAGTGTGTACTTTGAATGCAAAGTGGACATACATTTCATGCATTGCATGGAAAATCAAACCCATGACTTTGGAGTAGCTAGCACTATATGCTCTACCGTTAAAACACAAAACAGCAATTTATTAAATTGCCGTTAATCAGACAGTAACTAGATAAGATGTCTCCTTTGGGATACATTAAAATAAAAGCAATTTTCTGCCAATACTTATACTTATCCACGTATCTTTCTGTATATATGCTGTTTTGTTGTTGTTGTTGTTTTCCAAGAATTGTTTTGCGGTTTTTGTCATAGCACAGTAGTTCAGTGTGACCATGGAGCTTTCAAGCTCAAAAAGGACAAAAGGAACACAGAAGTGGTCCACATGACTTCCCGTTCCTCAAAAAAAAAAAGCTATTATATTGCTTTAGAAGCCTTGGAATTTAGTGCATGAGTCATAGTTTAGGCAGTTTAGGCTGCTTTTTGTTATTTTTTATGCTTTGGAGCTTCACAAAAAATAGAAACATTCTAAACATGGAAAAAATAACAGGCAAATAATAACATCATACAGGATTGAAATGACATGAGGGTGACTAAATAATGACAGAATTTTTATTTTGGAGTGAACTATTCTCTTACAATTACAGTCTCTAAGATTCTGCAGTGTACATTACCATGTAAAAGTATGGATTAGTATGATGATTTATTTTTAAATTAATTATTACATTTAACGCATCAAGGATGCAGTTAATTTAAACACCAAATCAGCATATTAGAATGTTTTCAGAAGGATCATGCAACACTGAAGAGTAATGGCTGCTGAAAATTCGGCTTTGCATCACAGAAATAAATTACATTTTATAGCATTAAAATAGAAAACTTATATATTAAATTATAATAATATTTCACAATATTACTGTTTTTACTGTATTTCTAATCAAATAAATGTAGCCTTGGTGAGCATAAGAAAAAGCATTAAAAATCTTGCCAACCCCAAACTTTTGAATGCTAGTGTTTAAATGTTTATCTGACTTTTCCTCACAGAATTCTCTTTGCTGTGTGTTTTTGTGAGTTCTGCTGGGACCGAGTGTCCTCTAGCACCTTCCCACTGGTGTTAAATCAACCCCTAAAATTCAAAGCTCCGTATTTTAGCTATGAATTTACAATCCCATAAAACGAAAGACTCCACCATCACGCATTTACTCAAGGCCAATAAAAACATATCAACCACTATAAAACTAACACCCGCTGTAAGCATTTATTACCAAATAATACTTTCCCCTCTATAACAGTAAAAATAAATTAGAGGGTAACTAGTATATCGTTATCTACCACAACGTCCCATGGGTGAAAAGTAATTCAATTGTTTAAAAAAAAAACACGTACATGACTGTCGGCTTGACCAGATTTTTCTGATTTACAAGCTGCTGTGGAAAAGTGAGCATAAGGCGCATGATGGAGAATCTAGAATCTGGAGCTCAATTACGGCGGCCCATTGGGACGCCCGAACGCCAAGACTATAAGATGACGCTTTCTCAGGGGGGACGTCAATGTTTAGTAAATGAGGGTGAGCGCTGTGCGTACTGTCTAGAGGGAAGAAAAGGAACATTTTCATGGAATCAAAGGTAAGAGTTACCTTTCATTGCTCTCAGCGGGGGGGCTGTGATTTGCAAAGCCGCATACATACGTTGAATATTATTTTATTTGTATACAAGGCCCTGTGATAAAACAGCCATTTAATTCCTGTCTGCCATGATGAATTACACAGTTTGAGGCTTAAATAATGAAAAAAAAGGAAGCTGAACAAATGCATTTATTAAAGAGATCCTAATCAGCAGTCTGCAATTAATCGCATACCCCTCCCCCTTTATTTTCCTCGTCCTTTTGCAGCTTTGGTTTTGCACTTCTTCGAGGGGATGAAGGGGTGCATGAGGGGGGACTAATTACCTTCCACTGCCAGTCGTCTTAGCTGGATCTACCCCCACGCCGATGACACACACACACACACACACACATCTCTCGGCTCGGATCACTTACCGAATAAGACCATCTGCAATCCCTCTGGGAACGGTGGCACTGTCCTGTTACCATTCACGTCGTGCTTAGCTGCAGGACACAGGGGAAACAATGGAGAGAATGCCCTTATAAATCAACACAATGTCAACAGGATTTCATTATGTGCTCTTCTCAACCCAACTCACTGTAGGGAAGAAACTCCCAGGAGGACAGTGGCTCTATTCCTACGCAGCTCATTATGTTCAACCATTAAGTTTTGGGTTGATTCCTTTATCTTTCACTTTAAGAGCACCAGGAAGACAGGAAAAGGACATAGGGAAGGTCAAACAAGTCATTTGATCAAGGAAGGTCGAATGATTGTCTTTTATTCCAGCGCGTTGTGGATTTTTCAAAGGGGAGGAGAACGACACCTGGTCGGATTAATGTATGTCAATGCGATGTTTTAACATGTGACAGGGATACAGATGGGCTGAGGCATGGAAAATCGTTGCGTGGATTAGAATAAATGGAGGTCACCGAGTTCAACATCTGGGCACAGTCATGCCGGAGCTTCGACATGCACGTACTGTATGAGTATGTTGCCATGGCAGCAGGGCATGCCAATACAGCCAGACGGATGGCAGACCTACATGCCATGCAGCAGTTCACTGCATCACTCATGGTCACACTCTCTTTGCAAATGGGTGGTTAAACCACTTTGAGTTTGAATTATGGGAAAAGCTTCAAATGCTAAGTTAATTATGCTCCATAGAATTTCGCATTCTCAAAATAAATGTTAAATAAATATTTAACCAATTATTAAATATTTTCCTGTTAAATAAATAAATAAATACTCAGCATTAAATAAAACATTATTGGCTCTTTTTTCCTGTTAAATAATATTTAGTCCATAACTGACTTTGTTTCTGTGAATTAAAAAACAACCCATAAATGTTCAGCCCATTATTGACTACTTTTTCTGTTAATTAAATAAATAAATAAACACATACATACATTATACATACATACATTTCTTAAAATGAATAAACAAAAAAGAAAATAAATGTTCCATCCATTGACCTTTTTTTGTTAAATGAATACATAAATAAATAAAAAGGAATGAATGAATGAATGAATGTTCAGTCCAATGCTGACTCTATTTTCTTTCATTTCATAGTCATATCCTCCTTTTAGTGTAATATATCTATAAAATGTGTTTGCATCCAAAGTCAGTGGTGTTTCACAAGAGGCTTCCTGAAACGTGGCTGTGATTAATAATAATTAAAATACAAATCCTAGGTGAAACAGAATGAAAATCTTCTTTTGGCACAGTAAACCTTTCCATTTTAGAATTAAAATGGCACTTGAACAATGCAGTGAAAGAGAGGCTTTCTGTGGAGGCCACAGCTCTAATCTAATCTGTGTAAGTGGACTGAAGAGAAGCATTAGAACAGACTTCATTAAATCACTTTAACATTCAGACTGTCGGTGCTGATCTGTTTCAACCCCTCAACACTCTACACCGTTCAGTACACTGAGCAAAAATTCCATGTAGACTCTTAAGTCAACATCAATCAACATAAAAAACTAAATACTGTGTGTGTGATAATTCTAAAAGAATTTGAATGTTTTTAAAGGGATATTTTGCCCAAACAAAAACTATCATCATTTTCTCACCCTCATGCAATTTCAAACCTGTATAACTTAATTTGTGCAACAGAAAAGGTTTTTTCTTTTCAATACAATGACAGTGAGTGAGGACAGTGAAACTGTGACCATAAAAGAATCATAAAAGTGGTCCTACGCAGATCTATAATATACTGTATATCAGTCAATATTATATTATAGATTAGTGGGTCCATATGATTCATACACTATATGCATCAACTAACAAACTCAAGAACCGAATCAGCCCAATTCATAAACAAATCATATAAATCGGTGTTGTGAACCGGGTCAACTAATTCATTGAAAATTAGTATGATTTTTTTTAGATTAAAGTTATTATATGTACGTTTTTACCTGTATACTGACTTCTAATAAGGCGAATGGTTTCTGTTTCTTTCTCAGGCTTTCCTCAAAATGTCTGTTGTTGTAAGTTTGGTAAGCAGGTAGGAAATTCCATGAAAAGGGCAGATTGCTTTACAGCAGCAACAAATGCAGGTGTAAGAGAAGAATTATATACTATATAATTATGTACTACATACCGTACTATACTAGATATACTACATACTGTAATAATAAGAATTGATTAAGAATCTAGAATAAAAAATAAATACAAAAATTAAGAATGTATTCTTTTTTAAGACTAATTCTATATATATATATTATCATATATTATATATACAGTGGGTACGGAAAGTATTCAGACCCCCTTCAATTTTTCACTCTGTTATATTGCACCCATTTGCTAAAATCATATAAGTTAATTTTTTTCCTCAATGTACACACAGCACCCCATATTGACAGAAAAACACAGAATTGTTGACATCTTTGCAGATTAAAAAAGAAAAACTGAAATATCACATGGTCCTAAGTATTCAGACCCTTTGCTGTGACGCTCATATATTTAACTCAGGTGCTGTCCATTTCTTCTGATCATCCTTGAGATGGTTCTAAACCTTCATTTGAGTCCAGCTGTGTTTGATTATACTGATTGGACTTGATTAGGAAAGCCACACACCTGTCTATATAAGACCTTACAGCTCACAGTGCATGTCAGAGCAAATGAGAATCATGAGGTCAAAGGAACTGCCTGAAGAGCTCAGGAAACAGAATTGTGGCAAGGCACAGATCTGGCCAAGGTTACAAAAAAAATTCTGCTGCACTTAAGCTTCCTAAGAGCACAGTGGCCTCCATAACCCTTAAATGGAAGACGTTTAGGACGACCAGAACCCTTCCTAGAGCTGGCCGTCCGGCCAAACTGAGCTATCGGGGGAGAAGAGCCTTGGAAGAGAGGTAAAGAAGAACCCAAAGATCACTGTGGCTGAGCTCCAGAGATGCAGTCGGGAGATGGGAGAAAGTTGTAGAAAGTCAACCACCACTGCAGCCCTCCACCAGGCGGGGCTTTAGGGCAGAGTGGCCCGACGGAAGCCTCTCCTCAGTGCAAGACACATGAAAGCCTGCAAGGAGTTTGCTAAAAAACACCTGAAGAAC